ACACACACACACACACACACACACACACACACACACACACACACACACACACACCCTTCATTCTTTTGTAAAACATCCTTGATTTAGTATTTTTTAAGGTAAATATTTTGATACTGGGGATGCGCAGCAAGCGGCAAAACCACTGAGCTAAATCCCCGGCCCTTTTTTTTTTTTTTCTTTTGAGACAAGGTCTTGCTATGTGATTCAAGCCTGCCTTGAACTCACTATGTAATCCAGGCTGGCCTCGAACTCATGGAGCGATCCTCCTGCCTCAGCCTCTGGTGTGCTGATACAGGTGTGCACCACCATGCCCACCCAGCTCAGGATTACTATTTTGTGATTTGGGGCAGCTTAGGATTTCTTCCTAGAAAATTATTCTGTAGATGCTTTGTAGTATGGCCTTAATCCTATCCTCATATACATCAGGAATGTTGTCCCTAGCACTTCACGCCCACTCTGGTGTTTCTGTTATCAATTATGGCATTATAAACCCCCCAAAACTTAGTGGCTTTCTTGGGGGTATAGCTCAGTGGTAGAGCACTTGCCTACCTGTGCAGAGCTCTGGGTATAATTCTCAGCATTGCAAATAAATAAACAAACTTAGTGACTAGCTGGGCCAGGTGGTGCAGGCCTGGGCTAAGGCAGGAGGATTGTAGGTTTCAGCACAACATGGGCAAGTTAATAATTTAGCAAAACTACATCTCAAATAATAAAGTGCTGTGAATGTAGCTCAGTACCAAGGCCCTGGGCTCAAGTCTCCAGTACCACAAATAAACAGCCCTAGTGGCAGTTTTAACTGGCAACAGTTTATTAATGTTTGTTCAGTAGATTGGCTTGGCTTGGCTGGGTGATTGTTCCTGGAGTTCGTGCAGCTGCATTAACCTTTGAGCTCCGCAGAGGTTGGGATGAGCCATTTCATACTGTTTGCATGTGTGGTACCTACTGTTAGCTGGGCATCTCAGTTCTCCTCGTGTCCTCTTTGTGTCCATGAGGCTAAATTGTGCCTCTTCACACCATGAAGGTGAAAGTGGAAACTGCCAGGCCACTTACGGCTCAGATGCAGAACTGATACAGTATCACTCCTCTGGCTGTTAGTCAGGCAAAATTAGACTCAAGCCGACTTTGTGTCTTGACAGGAGGTATGGCAGCTCTGAAGAGAGACGTGCAGGACAAGGAAGGTTTTTACAGAGGCAGATTAGGTAGGCGTCTGAGTCCCTCAGTGGCTCTCCAGCCGTATCCGGGCCCACTTGTCCCAAATGATGGCTCTCCTGGACCATTGTTGCTCTTACTTGCCATGTCCTTGTATTTTTAATGTCCCTGTCTTTATGGTCCTATTTTCTAACTACCGTTCAACAACCACCATCCTTACAGCATCTTTTTAAATGCCTTGCCATTTCTGTATTCATTTTCTAAAGTCATGAAGAAATGTGCCACCCTCTTGCTTTAATCTCCTTCTGGCACTCTTCCAGTCTTCTTAGCATCTGTTCATGATTTTCTGCTGCCCTGTCCTTAGAAGCTTTAGCACTACATTGACAGCTCCTCTCAGATTCAGCCTTGAAGTTCTTTGTCCTCAGTTCACAAATTTAATTACTTCAGCCAGCTACCAGTACAGCCTTCGTTGGTCTTTAGGCCAGCTACATTTCCAGTTCAGGTGCATAGTTACAGGAGATGGTAAGCTGAAAAAAAAATCCTCATATGATTAGACATATATACCTGAGAGAAATGAAACACTTGCACTCAAATGTTCATGGCAGCTTTATCCATAATCAAAAAGGAGAAGCAACCCAAATCCCCATGAGTTGGTAAATGGATAAACTGAATGCGGTATACCCATTCAATGCTGTGAAGAGTTACAGTCTGTCCTCATGGAGAAAAAGAGGCTGCTATGAGAATTGAGGTACCTGTCTAACACCACGTGCCATACACATGAATACACAAGGGTTGCCACATCCAACCCGTGAGAAGCTCCTAGGTTAATGCAGTTACATGAGCATTCCAATGGAACATATATAGTTCAGCTCTAAAAAGGTGTGAAGTACTGATTCATGCTTCAGCATATACAAACTTTGAAATCTATTTATCCATCTGTATCTGTCTTTACTTATTTACATTTTTTGGAGACAGGGTCTCGCTCTGGTGTTAAATTCACTGTGTACCACAGGCTGGCCTTGAACTTGCAGCAATCCTCCTGCCTCATCCTCCTGAGGGCTGGGATTACAGGTGTGCACCACCATGCCTGGCCCAGACCTTGAAAATATTACACTAAATGAAATAACTAGTCACAAATGACCACACATTATATGATTCTATTTGTAGTTGAGCCTTGTTGTTCAGATTTTGTTAATTTGTCTACCTACTAAAAATGTTTGGAATCCCAAAATCAAAATCAATATGATACTTTTGCAACCAATCACAGACATGCACAGAGCAGTGAAAATTTTTTTTCCTCCTTGGTACCAGGGATCAAACTCAAGACCTTGTGCTTGTGAGGCGGGCACAGGCACAGCGCCACTGAGCTAAATTGCTGGCCCAGCACAGTAGCCTATTTTTAATTTTTGGGACAGTGTCTTGCTAAATTGCCCAGTTGATCTTGAAACTTGTGATCCTCCTGCCTGAGCCTGCTGAGTAGCTGGGATTACAGGCATATGTCACTGCACCCAACTTAAGATTTCTGTAAACATATACAAAACATGATTCTAACTGTTGTGAGCAGAGGAGCTGTGATCCAGTATTGGTGATTCAGTGTTCATGGCAAGTCTATAGGACATAATTACTGCAGATAACAAGATTCAGTTATATATGAGATAATCAGAAGAGGCAAGTTTGTACAAACAAATTAGTGATTGTCAGGGTATGGGAAGAAGGGCCAGAATAAGAAGGAATGTCGAGGGGCCAGAGATACAGCTCAGCAGTACAGCACCAGCCTGGCAAGCTTGAGGCCCTGAGTTCGATTCCCGGTACCAAAAAAAAGGAATGTAGAAAGTTTTATTTAGCAACGTTTGGTTCTAGTGGTTGGTTTTTGAGACAGGGTCTCACTAAGTTACTCAGATTAGGCTCAAACTTGCCATCCACTTACCTCAGCCTCCCAGAGTGCTGGGGTTACAAGAATGTGTACAATGCACAACTGTGTGCCCTGTTTTCTAGTAGATACCTTAGTAACAAAACAAGCATTAGTTTAGTGGTTCAATGAGATTTGCTATACAAATATAATCAATAACAAAGCCAGGCATGGTGATGCATGCTTGTGGTCCAGCACTCTGGGAAGATGAGGCAGGAAGATCATAGGTTCAAGCTCAGCCTGGGGTTTTGTTTTTTTTTTAGTACCAGGGATCGAACTCGGGTTCTTGTGCTTGCAAGGCAGGCGGCGTAACTACTGAGCTAAATCCCCGGCCCCTGGCCTGGGCATTTTAATGACTTAACTGTCTTCAAAAGGAAAAGGGGACTGGTGATATAGCGCAGTGCATATAGGTCCTAGGTTCGATCCTCAGTAGTGCTTTTTAAAAAGGAAAGAAAAAAAAGCAGTATTGTTCATCTCTAAGTGGCATGCACTGAAATATATACCATAGGCAGCAAGCCAAAGACACATTTTTAGGGAAGTCCTGAGTGTGTCCTGGGGAAGAGACTGTTCCCTAGGGTGGTCATTCCCCTGCTTGGATGGGATGGGAAGGGAAGGAGGCATTGGTGCTTGTTTTAATTTTATTTTGATTTTGTCTTTTGAGACAGGGTCTCCATACATACTCCAGGCTGGTCTTGAACTTGTGGCAGTCCTCCTGCCTCAGTCTCCGAAGTGCTGGGTTTACAGGATTGTACCACCACGCCCAGCTTATTTCATTTTTGCTTTTTGCCATGCTAGGGATTGAACCTAGAGTCTCATGTACTAGGCAAGTACTCTACCCCTGAGCTACACTGTTGGCCCTATGGTATTTTAATGCTTTTTTTTAACCAAATGGTAAATTCTTTTATTAACAGCCATTATAAACAGATAATACTATTTTTTTTTTACTAATCTTATTTTTTTTTGGTACCGGGGATTGAACTCGGGACCTTGCTCTTGGCAGGTGCCGTTTACTAATCTTATTTTAAAACCAAGAGTGCCACACCAGTGAATATACAGCTTATGAATAACTTTAAGTATTTCCCATTTAAAAGGTAACACACTAGCATACAAACCCTACCCTAAACAAAGAAGCTGGACTGTGGACACATAATTGATGTGTCTAAAATGATGTATGTACAGTACATAATTAATGTTAATTACGTGAGTTGTACGTTTCACCCATTCCCTTCATGCTTCACTTCTCTCCAGAAACTGAATTCTGAACTTCTTCTTCTAAAATTGGTACAATCAAGTTATCCTTGGACATCAAATTATATTTCATCACAAATTTAGTAAAGCGATGACATAAAAATGTTTCATTTTAGGGGCCAGGGATTTAGCTCAGTGGTTTTGCCGCCTGCTGTGCAAGCTCAAGGACCCAAGTTCGATCCCTGGTACCAAAAAAAAAAAAAAGTTTCATTTTCATATTCAAATATCTTCTATTGATGAAAATAAACATGTGAAAATATTACGTAAATCCTATGACATACAGATCATACTTTTGTTACAGAGATTCTTCGAGATGCTTGTTAATGCATGCCTTTTGTTTATGACAATTGGAGGTGGTTTTCCATTTGAGTCACTGATGTTTCCTTGCCTCTTTTTTTGTTGTTTCATTTTGTTTTTTTGAGACAGAGTCTCATTATGTATTTCACCCTGGCCTTGAACTCACAGGGGTCCTCCTGCCTCAGCCTCCCAAGTACTGGCATTACAGGCATGTGCCACCACGCCCGGCTGCCTGTTAAAGAGCAGTGGATGTAACTTAGTGGTAGACCACTTGGCTGACAAGCACAATGCCAAGGGCTCTATCCCCAGCTTCCCGCCCCCCCCCCGCCCAAAAAAAGTGATTTAAGGAAATATACTAAGTAAACAATAAAGTAGGCTGTGTATGGATATATGGCACAGTGGGATAGCAGTGGTTGGTGTTGGGAAAATAGGAATAAAACAGCTTTATCTTTTCTGTTCAGTCAAGCATGAAAATCTGGAAAAGATAAATCTTGAAATAAAGAGACAAATATGCCCCCAGGGCCCACTTCCTCTAGAAGTGCTACCTTACTGAATCCAGGGAAGTAACAATGTCTGCTCTGGAGAGAATGGAGATTGAATTAGCAGCTCCCCTGGCCTGCAGAGATCCTTCCAGACCCTTGGCTCCATTCTTCACAGTTCTCTGTCTGTGCCCAGCTGTCCGTCTTTCTCACTCCATCGAAACCTGCTTGTGACAACCCCACCTCACTTTTGCCTTAGGCCTCACTAGGGCCCGCCATGTTCTTGGGAGCCTTGTCTTTCTGAAAGCATTCCTTCACTGGGTAGCATTAATAGGCAGTGCTGGAGGCAGGTGGTGTTTGTGCTTGACTCTTACTCGGTGTGTGTTTCTGACTACTCATGCCTATACTATGCCCAACTCAGCCAGTGCCAGCATTTTACACCATTACTTGTAATGCTGGATGAAGAACATAGGCCCCTAGTAGAGGAATCTGTGGCATCAGCAATCTACAAAGGAGAGCCATCTTTGAGATGGGAACAGAGTGGTGGGAAAGATCACGGCATTCTGGGGGTGCTGACAGGGATTAGGGTGACTGTAGGAGTTGCAGGTGGCACCTTGCTGCTGATCCCAATCCTTGTCTTGCACTTCTGTGCCAACCTTCCCCCCAAGGCTTGCCTTTTACCTTGTCTGGGACTCACAATGTGAAGCATCATGGCACCCCCTGAGCCTGTATGCCTTCCGGCCATGATGTTGATAATCCAGTGCCACTGTGGTTGTCATTCTTCCAGTGGCTAGTCAAGGTTCATCAGTGTGTCTTACTCTACCTTCAGGAGCTCCTTGGGGTCCTTTAGATTGGGCTCATTGCATGTGGACAGGCACAGCCCTGTCACACATCTCTTCTTTCTCACCCTGATCACAACTGTCCTGAACTGAGTGTAGCGCTGAGTGCCAGGTGAGGGCAGACATATACCCCCAAATCCTAACCTGGGGAAGTGATCCTTTGCAAGTGTATACGTGCTTGAGTGTGAGCAGCTGTTAGTTCAGAGCCTCCTGTCTCCAGAGTACCCTGATGTTGGGTCAGGAAGGCTTCCTGGAGGTCAGGGCATCACCCTGAACAGTTACCCACTGTAGTGTTGGCTATTTGTCGTCCATTCCTTTCTCCTGATCACAGTATAGAAAAAAGGCTGAGTTCTGGTGGTAACAAATTTGAATTAAGAGAAAGTTGCTTTGTCTTAAAAAGCACATTGGGCCGGGGATTTAGCTCAGTGGTTCCGCCGCCTGCCTCGCAAACGCAAGGTCCCGAGCTTGATCCCTGGTACCCAAAAAAAACCACATTGGCTATAAGTCTCTGTTGAAGTCAGAGTTTTGTCTCAAATTAGCTGCCCCTTGTCCTCCCTGAATCTGCTCTAACCCTGATGCCTTGTCCTTCTCTTGGCAGTAATCCAGTCCCTCATAGCACTGGTGAACGACCCCCAGCCCGAGCACCCGCTCCGGGCTGACCTAGCTGAAGAATACTCTAAGGACCGTAAAAAATTCTGTAAGAATGCTGAAGAGTTTACAAAGAAATATGGGGAAAAGCGACCTGTGGACTAAAATCTGCCACAAATGATTCCAGCAAGTGTGAGCAGAGACCCCGAGCAGTGCATTCAGACACCCCGCAAAGCAGGACTCTGTGGAAAATTGACACGTGCCACCACCTGGCATTCACTTGTGGCAGTTACTAACTTTCTACAGTTTTCTTAATCAAAAGTGATCTAGTAACCTGTAAAGAAAGGATTAAAAATTTCAGATATTCTAGTTCTGCTTTCTTTGTTTTAAAAATCACTGCTTCAGTCCACTCCAAAAGCATGGTGTTTCTTTTCTTGTCCAAATTTGCCCAAAATCTTCAAGTTACATTTAGCCCATAAGGTTAAAAAAAGAAAAATAAGGGTTGTGGTTCCCATTCTTTCTGTGCCCTTGCAACTCCCACTCTCCCTGCATACATTCAGTTTATTTTTCACAGATTCACTTTCTAACACCCAGATCCCATCTTTACCGCAAAGAAGAAATGGCTCTGGCGGCTTTTCTTCTCCCGTGTCATACTGCCCTGTATGGGAGTTGGTTCAGTTCTCCTGATGCCAGTCTATAACGTCCTTTTAAAAAACTACCAAACAAGCAAACAACCCCCCCCCCCAATAAAAGAAAATGAAAAGAAAAAGCCTGCAAAAGGAGGTCCAGCTCTTCTGTAAAAATCTGGCTCTTGTTTCCACAACAGTGTGGAATAAGTGGGCAAGCCCCACTGTCTGTGTATACCTGATTGAACTGCAGCCTTATCTGGGCTATGTAGGAAACCCTCAGTGCTGGGTCTGGTGACTCTGGAGGGAGGGCTTGCCAGCTGAGGACACTGCGCTTGTGAGATAATGATGAATTTCTCACCAGAAAGTCTCCTGAGGCCAAGATTCGGCACCCTTCCCTGCAGCCATGTTAGAAGGTCCACTGGTCAGCGCAGCAGAGCAGAAGCCAGAATATCCATTTCAAACTCCAAGCTCCTCCATCCCCGATCTCCATCGGAATGTGCCACTGAGCTCTGTGACTGCTCTCTGCAGCAGCCCCACCACAGCCCTCCCTTGGCACAGTTTGACCCTTTGTGGGATTGGAATTGGCTGGACTCTGCTTCATATCTGGTGTCAGTCTGGGGTTGCTGGAGCCCCTGTTGGCCCCTTCCTTTGGAGCAGGCGGCAGCCCAGGAACAACACAGCCTTCCTTTTCTCTTCGGACTCAGTCTTTGCAGAGTCAAGCTCCACGTGAAGCTCACTCAGTAATACCTTTCAATGTGTTTTATATTGTTTTGATTGCCTTTTTTGTAGAAATAAAAATTGACCTTAGAATTTATCATCAGATGAACTTTGTAAGGATTTGAATGTTAATGTCTTTCAAGGAAAATGGGACTATCTCTGAAACGGTAGAGAATGCATGGCACTCTGATACCCTGAGGAAGCTGATCAAACACCATGTGTTACCAACCTCTGCCACTGGCGTCTTCCCCTTCCTGGCTGCTAGGGGGACTAGATCCCATGAAGATGACTTCAAGAAACTGCTTTCTGTTTTTTCACTTTAGCTCTATAACTTGATCTTTCTAGGGCTTACAGACATATAAGGTAGCCCTGGGTTTTGCGTGTGCAGAAGTGCGAAGTGATGGGTAGAGTAGGGGCATAACACTGTTCAGTTGTCCAGGCGCATGGCTCCTGCAGTGTGTAAGTGAACTCAGCTGCTTTAGTCCTGGGTACGCAAGGGGCACTCCAAAAGCCCAGGACCGCAAGAGCACAGGGCCAGCATTTCCTCATCTGTCTCTTCATTAGCAGAAAGGTGATAATGGATTTTATTTCACTCACACTCAGATTTGTAATAAAATGCCAAATTCTGTCAGAAGCTGTCCAAACAAGCCACCATTTGTTCTCATTGGTTCTCTAAGTCCAGAAATAATTGTCATTCTTGAAAACTGTCCCATTGCTTCGTATTTCTGCCAGCGTAGCTCTGCCTGCCTGTCACCCCCTCTCTGCTCTCTGCTCACCGTGGGAGGGTACCCTTATGCTGGCAGCCCAACTCAGGGACTCAGCCCTGTCACTGGCACCCCATGGTCTGCCCTGGCAGCAAACACCTGGCTCTCAAGTCAGTGGGTGTCCCTCCCTGCTGCCTGGGTGGCTTGCTCCTTTCAGCTGTGCCCCGGGCCAGTCTTTGAGCAAGCTGGCAGCCAGCTCTGCCTGCTCCCAAACCAAAAAGCTGAATACTCTGGAGAAGGGGAGAGCTGTGAAGCAGCTACCCATTGCTGACCCGCACTGGCTCAGGAATTCACATCACTTGGTTCCTTGAAGTGCCCGGGTCCTCTTCCTGCCCTTCCACAATGGTGGAGAATAAGCTAAGATGCTGCGATCCCATTCTGCTGCCCTTAATAAAAATGCTCTCTGACAATGGTTTGGTTGTGTGGGTATCTTCCTTCCTTTAGGGGTGGGTAATAACAGGGGCCTGTGTTCTTTAAGACTGGGAGGTGTGGCTGGGGCCTCATCTGTCCCCATTCCAGCCTTTCCAGGAGAGCCACACAGAGGTGTTCTACCTCCCTAAAGGGAAGCAGTTGGGGTATAATCAGCACTGGGAACACCAGAGTCCAGGCTACCAGGCTTGTAGAGGGACCAGCGGAGGTCTAGTAAGGGGACAGCAATTTCCACACGAGTGGGTCACTTTAGTCTTGTAACCCCAAGAGAGTGATGTGATCCATGTTTAGTAGAAGTGAAAACAGGCCCTGAGAAGGGGGTCTTGGTCAAGGTCCTGGGACTAATGAGGGTGTGGTTAGGCCATTTCCCCAAATGGTTCTAACCAGAAGCCAGCCTGGCACGCCCCAGACAGCTCAGCTCACTTCCAAAGCACACCAGCAGTAAGGCCTACACTTGGCGGTGGCAGGGTCTGCAGCTTGAAAAGGGAAGCTCCCTGGGGTGTCATTTTACTAAGGTCAAGGAAAAGAGTCCTTTCCTCTGATTGTGGGGTGGAGTGTTCTGCCACATGCATGGTGCTTTGCCCTCTGAGTCTCAAGGCAGCCTGTGAGCATTATCCCAGTTTTCAGGGAGGAGGAGACAGGCTCTGAGTGATACTTAAAGGCACCTGGCTGTTTTTACACTTAGTCTAGGCCTGTTACATCCCACCAGTCAGCACACTTCCTCCTCCTAGAGGGTCCCTGAGAGCCAGGCACAGTGGTACACACCTGTGATCTCCTCCACTCAGGAGGCTGAGTTGGAAGGATTGCAAGTTTGAGGCCAACCTGGGCAATTTAGCAAAACCTAGTTTGAACGGATATAGCTCAGCGGCGCCACACCTGCCTGGCAAGCACAAGGTCCTGCATTCGATCCCCAGAACCAAAGGGCAGGTCTCAAAAAAGAAAAACCCAGGTGTGCGGTGACACACCTGTAATCCTATCACTCTGGAAAGCTGAGGCAGGATTGCAAGTTCAACCTCAGCCTGGGCAATTTAGTAATTTAATGAGACTCTGTCTCAAAAAATTAAAAGAAAAATTGGAACGAGCTTACCCTCTTCCCAGACTCATGCTGGTCTCTTGTACCCCTTTCTTTTACACCCTTTAAAAAAAAAAACGGCTGGGTGTGGTGGCACATGCCTGTAATCTCAGCACTCAGGAGGCTGAGGCAGAAGGATTGCCACCAGTTGGAGGCCAGCCTGAACTACATAGCAGGATCCTGTCTCAAAAACAATAATGCCTCCAATCCCTCTCCACTGTGTGCCACCAGTGACCACGCCCACAAAACTTTTCCCCTTCTCTTCTCCCCTCCCCTCCCGAGGTAACCCCCTGTTCCCTGGTTCTACCAGTCTGGCCAAGCTGCCTCACTTCACTCTTAACTGCTCTTGGTCCCTAGAGCTGTTCTCAGCTTCTATCTCTACTTATCCCGCCCTTCCTTCCTGGGTGGGCAGCAGTACACACAGACTTTATGGCCACCCTTACCTTCCACCCAAATATCAGAGCTGCACAGCCAGCTTCTGCCTCTGAACACTTCACAGCAGAACCCCCACTTCTGGCAGCTGCCTTGGGGTCAACAGGCTGCCCTCAGGCCACCCCCTCTTGCCACCCCCAGCTAGCACTCTGCAGGAGTGTGGCCAGACCATGAGGCCAAGGCTAGAGGTAAAGGCTAGGCGGCAGGCAGGGCAAATTCACAGTGACTTCTGTTCACAACCATGAAAAAATGAAAGTAGGAAAGGTGTAGCTGCCAAAAAATCAAGGAAAGGTTAGAATGCAAGATGAGCATGGAACAGAAAAGGAGCTGAAACCACAGCCAAGGGAATAGAGGTGTGGGCCAGCAAAGAAAAGTGGGCCAGAAGTCAGAAAAGAGGAACAAGATCCCACATGTCCCTTCAGAAATCCATGTGTCCCTATAGTCTACCTAGGCTGAGTGAGAGCCCTCAGCACCTGATTCTATGTTTGACACATAGAGTCCGGTCCAAATCAAGTGAATGAAAGAAAGCTCCACAGCCCTGCTCTGCCACTCCCGCCTCCAGGCCTGTAAATTGAGGACACATGGCATTAAATGAGACAAACGTGTGGTGTTTCATCTGCCTTTCCATCGTTGGGAGTGGGGCACAGGGACTCTGTGCTCAGGACTCCCTATGGACTTCTGCTCCTTGCATCTCAGAGCCATTGGTCCAAGTGACGTGGAATCCCTGTCCACAGGGCATCCATATACCAGCAGGCTCAGGAATTCCAGGTTTCAATTTCCACAGAATAGCCTTCCCAGAAAAATATAAACAGTCCTTTGAGCTCACAGGACCTACTCAGACCTGTCACATAGAATAGCTTAGAACAAGTGACCTCTTTTTAAATCAAAATTAAAGTTATATGCTTCCCAAAAAAGCAGCCTGCTATCTCCTGTTCCCACTTTTTTTTTTTTTTTTTTTGGTACTGGGGATCAAACTCAGGATCTTGCACTTGGGAGGCAGGTGGTGGCACCACTGAGCTAAATCCCTGGCCCTCCCCACCTCCTTAAAAAAAAAAAGGAATAAAAAATTTAAGCATTGCCAGGTGCCCTGATGGTACCAGTAGTCCCAGCTACTGAGGAGGCTGAGGTGGGAGAATCACTTGAGCCCAGGAGTTTGAGACCAGCCTGGGGAACATAGTAAAACTGTCTCAGAAAACACAGGCCGATGTGCTGGTGCATGCCTGTAATCCCAGCACTGGGGAGGCTGAGAAAAGAGGATTGCCAAAAGTCGAGACCAGCCTGGGCTATACAGTATAGTCTTTTCTAGGCTGCCCTGGAATACATAACAAGACTGTCTACTCTTCCCCCACAAAATCTAAGCATGAACAAAACCAAAACTCAGAATGTTTTGCATATCTTTTCTGGAGTATCAATGATGGTCTGAGTCACCAAGAAGTTGCTCTGTCTCCAATTCTGCTTCTGTGAAGGTTTCCTAGGAACTGTTTATAAATCACCCAAGTCTGAAAGACATATACTCTTTTATTTACATAACAATCTGTCCACTGTCACTGAGCAGTCAGGCGTTTACACTGCAACATGAATCAGTATCCAGCACTCTGCAGGCCCTACACCCTGATGTCACAGGCTGGACCTGCCTATAGCCAAGCACTGGCTGCCACTCTGACCCATGAGAACCTGGGCACAGAGCTGACTGGCAGTGTGTCACACTGGGAAGTCAGAGACCCTGCTCCAGGGCCTAGTTCTAGGCTACACCTGAGCATAATCTTAGTCCCCTTCCTCCACACCAAGGAGCATTAGTGCTTAGGTAGGGAAGGACCCAGGAAAGGTTCCAGAGTGGGCTGGCAAGAGAGTCCTTCTTCTGGCCTCTTGGAGTCCAGGTCCTCAAGGGCACAGAGTTGCACCCCGTCCTGGGCCAGCCTTGCCCGCAGTGTGGGTGCTGTGAGAACACGCAGTTCATGCAGTCTCTCCCAAGAGCAGGAGAAAGCGTCAGGACCCTCACCACAGCCTCCGGCTGGGGGCACACTGGGGTAACCGGGGTGTGTCATCAGCTCCACTGTCAGGGTATGGCCTGTGGGATTATCTTCCAGGGCCCGTACCACGGCCCCCAACACGCGGTGAGCAGACATGTATCGCCCGCAAGTGCTCAAGCCCACAAAGGCGTCTGTCCACCTGTGAAAGCAGGGGCAATAACGGCAGAGCTGCCAGGTTAGCAAGATAGGGCAGGGGGCAGAACAGGACGAAACTGGAGGCCAGCCGGTTCTTTCCCAAGTTGAGAAAGGGACGTAGCTGCCCAGGTACAGCACTAGGACCTGTGGGAGCAAGGGCTGAGGCAGCAGGGATGGGGTCTGCTCACCGCAGGCCGTGGTGAGAGAAGGGGCCCATGGCGGCCCGGGCATCGTGCTCTACCGCACAGGCAAAGGCGCGCGCGGGGGCTTCCAGCCACGCACAGCCGCCCACCCCGCGTTCCAGCGGCAGTCTTGTGAAGCGCACTCCGCAGGCCTGCAGCGCCTCGGCGAACACCTGGCACACACCTGTGGGCGGAGAGGGCTTCAGGAGGGGCTGGTTCCATCACTCGGTGTATCGACCTCCCGCCACCCCCTGGAACCAGGTCCCCAGCCTAGGAACGCCAGCCCACGCACCTGGCAGCACGTGTACGTGCTGGTGCCCATCCACATGCGTGGGGGGCTTGCCCAGCAACACCCTGAAGAGGCTTAGCTGGGCCTCTAGCTCCTCTCGCACCTGGAGGGAGAGGGAGAGGGAGAGGGGAGAGCGCCTTGAACTTCCGGGTAGATCACAGCAGAGGATGCCCTACTTGTGCCACCTTGCGGCCGCTTCAGCGTTTGAATGGGGAACGTCCCCAGCGCTCGCTCCTGCCCCTGATGATGTGTCTTGCCTGGGTCCCCAGGGCTGAGCTCTGGAGGTTACCGCTAGCATCCTTCTGCAGCCACGCCCCCGCACCTGGGACAGCGCCACGCGTCCGGCAGCCACCGCCTCTCGGAATCCCATCTTGCCCAGGAAGAAGCCTTCAGGACTAAGCAGCGACGAGGTGCCACGGCGGGCCGGGCCCACGGGATGACCCTCGGACAGGTTGGCGTGGAGACCGGTGGGGATGCTGTGCCTGCGGGCGGAGAGCGGGCCGGGAGCGCGGGAGGCACGGGGCAAGGGCGTCCCCAAACCCGCCCGGGCCGGTGGGGGCCGCCCTTACCTTCGGGCCAGCTCCGCCGCACTCTCCACCGCTGCGCCGTTCACCAGCAGGGACACGCTGGTCACGGTCCCTGCCAGAAAGGCCTCCACGATACCTTCATCACGCCGCGGACAGTAACCAAAGTCATCCGCGGTGACCACCAGCCGCACACGCGGCCAGGCCATGGCTGCCTCGAACCAGCGCTGCAGTAGAGGGGAGTGGGCTAGACAGTACGGCCCCACCTCAGCGCAATCGCCCAGACGCAACCGCACGTCGCCTTTGTTCTCGCCACCTAGTGGTCCCTGCGACAGCTGCTCTGTTTTACCAATCCCAAAGCTTCATTTACTGCAACGTGGAACTCGCCTTGACTTCAAAAAGTGGTATTTGAAAAGTGATGTATTAAAAAAAAAAAACCGAAAAAAAAACAACAACAACAACAACAACCGAGAAGGGGCTGGGGATTTATCTCAGTGGTGCCGCCGCCTGCCTTGAAAGAGCAAAGTTCTCAGTCGGATCGCCAGTACAAAAAAAAAAAAAAAAAAAAGAGGAAGAAAGGAAAAGGAAAAAAATTCCTTTACCCTTTTCAGAGCTCACACCTATTAACTTTGTGGGTAGTATCATTCAGTTTTTTGTTTTTGTTTTTGGGGGGTTTTTTGGTACCGGGGATCGAACTCAGGACCCTGAGCCTGCAAGGCAGGTGGCGGAACCACTGTTTTTTGAGACAAGGTCTCACTGTGAATTCCAGGCAGGCCTGGAACTTCTGCTTCTCCTGCCTCAGCCACCTGAATTTTATGATCAAGCCCACACTACCGCATCCGGCTTTCTTTTTTTTTTTTTTTGGTATTGGGGATCGAACTCAGGTCCTTGAGCTTGTGCAGCAGGCGACGAAACCACTGAGCTAAATCCCCGGCCCTCCCAGCTTTCTTTTGATAGTAGTATCTATGAGTTTTTTCATGTTATTAGCTGTTTTTGCTTCCTTTTCAAACTGTCAATTGTCTTCTGATTTTTCTAAGAGGAGGCTTTTTCCTACTGAACAAGAAAATGAACACATAAACCAATGGCTTCGTTTGAGAAAGCATTAGCCCTTATTTCCATCTTGAGCATTGTGAAAGAATACAACCTTCACATTCATAGCCTCACTTTTTTGGGGTTTTTTTTTGGTACCAGCGATCAAACTCGGGACCTTTTGCTTGCAAGGCAGGCAGCGAAACAACTGAGAGTAGCCTCACTTTTATTCCTCTTTGGTTCAGAAAATGTTCCTTTACCCATGACTATAACAACAGTAACCATGGTGACGGCCAGAGTTTTTACTATGTGACCATCTGGATTTCCTCTCTGGAAAGTATGGTATTTGTGTCCAGCCTATGAGATTGGTAATGTCATTTCTGTTTTATGGTTTTTGTTTTTGTTTTGTTTTTGGTACCAGGGATCGAACTCGGGTCCTTCCACTTGCAGGGCAGGCGGCAGAACCACTGAGCTAAATCCCCGGCCCTGTCATTTCTGTTTTTACAGATAAGAAAACAATGTCAGAGAGGGTAAGTATTGTCCTACCAAGAACAGTGAACTGATCCCTGCAACTCTGGGCCTATGCCCAGGTCTTCTCTAGTCCTCTGGGCCCCGTTTACCCACTTAAGTCAGGGACAGAGAGAGCAGAGTAGAGCTCGAGAATAAATAATACCTCACATGGAGGCTTGTAAGAATTGGAAGCCTCAAAGAGCTCTTCATCCAAGCTCTTGGCATAGAGACACAGGCACTGACAGTGTTAAGAGATTAGAAGTGACTACCTTAGTTCCTGCCCCCAAAGGGACATCATCTGGTAGGCAAGTAACAACATTGTGTGACAGTCAGGAATGGGTTTTGCTGTAAATCTGTTGTGAGTGTCAGGCTCTCTGGGTAGAAAGGAAGAAGATGTAAGGGTACCTGGAACTTTTCTTTGGGTGTCAAGTGTATTGTATGAAGATCTTATGTAATCCCTATACTCTCACGCAGAAAGACAATACCACATCCACCCCCTTCCCCGTTTAGAGAGGAGCCTGTGCTCAGAGAGGTTTATTTATACCAGCAGGAAACGTAGAGCCAGGAATTAGAGCTAGGTCTGAGACAGAGCTGGGACTATCCACTGTTCTCAAGGAGACTGCAAGAAGCCCCAGAACAGATGCTGAGGTTGTCCACACTAAGCAAGGGGAGGAGGCCCCCGGAAAGAAAGAAGTACAGCCGGAGGTCCAGAGCTGTGCAGCAACCAGTGAGAAAAGTGTTTGTTTCACCGGTAGAAGACATGGCTTTTGCTCTTTGCCTCCCCTCTGAGCAGATGATCAGCCCCAACTTCAGAGCTCTTTACGGTCCGAAAGAAACTGGTCAGCAGCAATCCTTAGTCCCTTGGCTCCCAGCAAAAGTGAGCAATACCCAGGGTGGGGCCGTGGGGGAGGGACCAATTTAGGCCCCTCCCCAACCATTGTGTCTGGGAAGCCAATGGGCGAAATGCGTGTTGCTAACCAATCAGAATGCGGTATGTAAACGAACACGCGGGGAACCACCCAGGTCGCTACAGTGCTCGGATGCAGCTGCCCGGGGGCAGACTGGCGAGGATCTGGGAGGGTACTCTAGTGAGCTGGTCGGCCCTGTTCTGGGTCTGGGAGGAGGGAGATTCGGACACACCTACAGACCAGAGACGGTCAGAGATAGTGTGGGCTTCCTCCGGGAGCCCCCACCTGGACAACACCAGAATGGGACTGTATGCAGATGCCTGGAAGATTCCTAGCAGAGGAAGAGCGTCATGAAGGACGCAAGGTGCGCGGAGCAAGGGACCCGAGGACCCCATGGGCACTGACACCGGGGCGGAGGACTCAAACCCGCCCGATCCTCACTCTGCCTCCCTGACCGCCCTGCGCAGAGAGCAGTCCGCTACTATGCTGTGGAACTGAAGAGAGAGGAGGCAAGCAGCAGGCCTGGCTACTTGCACCATGGCCAGCTGCCACCACCACTTGGGGTACCTGGCGGAAGATGAGGCTGGCCACAGCACGTACATGGCTGGAGTGAGTGTGCCCAGCAGGCCTCAGACCCTGATGCCTGAGAATCCCCCCCCCCCTTTTTTTCCATTGATCTCCTAACAGGGAGACCCTTATTATAGCCTTGAACTTTCCTATGACCCCTTTCTGGGCCCTGATCACCCTCACTTTCATTCTGTGTGTCCCCCTGACTCCAGCAACCTAGGAGGGACTTTGGTAGACTAGGAACCCAGCCATAGTTAGCTCAGGACTCAGGACCTCAGGTGTCCTGTGCAGCACAGCAGTGCAGACAGGACAGGCCTGTCCATGGGCAGGAGAGACGCGGGAAGATTTCGTTCATGTCATGTGTGAGGGAAGAAGTGGCTTTCAGACTCCCTGGCTAGGTCTTGTGTATGTGAAATGTATGTGCTGTACATACTTCAGGGCAAGCATAAATAGATTTCCACTTTCCAGATGAGGAAAATGGACCTCAAGAGAGGCCCTTGTGGGCACGATCATATAACCTGAAGGTGGCAGAGTCAGGTACCAACCTCAGGATTAACATGATTTTTTTTTCATTCAGTTTATTGGTAGAATTTAGGTGAACATTGTGATCACATTCATCTTAGGGAATTTGTGCCTGTACATGATATATCTTGAAGCATGATTTTTGTGGTTTTTTTTTTTTTTTTTTGAGGCAGGGTCTTGCTATGTAGCTGTGTCCTTCAATTCACTGTATAGCCCAGGTTGGCCTGGAACTTGCAGCAATCCTCCTGCCTCAGCCTCCCAAGTGCTGAGATTACAGGCATGTGGCACCATGCCCTGTTCAGAATTACCAGATTCTAAATGCAGTTCCCAGGCTAGGCTGTAGCTCAGTGGTAGAGCACTTGCTTAGCACATTCAAGACTTTGGGTTCCATCCCCAGTATCACCACCACCAAAAAAAACCAAACCAAAAACCCACAATTCCTTCCACTGTTCAATCCCCACCCAGCTTCTAGTGGCACATTTAGGAGAATCCCAGTGAACCCTTCCCTGCAGGGCATCCTACCCACTATGACAAGCTTGTTTTCTCAGGTACTACCACCCAAGAAGCCACTGTTGCCAGAAATGGGACCAGCCTCCAAGCTGGGTCGTGTGCCACACCCACCATCAGTGGATGGCAGTTCAGCACACCAGGGCTACTGCCAAGCCCCTAAGAGACCTCAAACTTCTGGTAGCTTCCTAGATTTCCTGACAGAGGGCCAGATGCTGGACAGTCTGCAGACAGTGGTGAAAGAGGCAACCGAACTCATAGCCAGCATGAAGACAGAGGCTGGGGTGCCACTGGTGGATGTGCAGGACTCCACAGAAGTGCCAAGTGGGAAGCGGTGGGTGTGTGCCCGACCCAACTTCAGCACTGTAAAGCAGCACCATGTTCGGCCCACCCTCTGCACTGGTCACCCCAATAATTACCCATCCTGCTCCAGCTCCATGTCTGACTCCCATAGTAGCCTCACAGCTGGCCATCTGGGCTCCCACAGCCGGGACAGTGACCTAGGTCCCCGAGGCTTAGGCTCATTGCCACCCATGAGAGACAGACTCCTGCTGGAGAAAAACCTCAAGCGGTTGGTACAGCTGGAGAACAATGGGGTGAGATCTGGGACCACAGTTCAGGGGTGGTACAGTTGGGGTAGACCTGAGCCCCTCAGCCTGGACACCTCTCTGGGTCTCCCTCTCTCTGCAGAAAGGCTGGAGTCAGTCCTGTTCCCAGAGGGACTCCTTGCTGTGGAACTCACTAGGCAGCCAAACCAGTAGCCAGTAGACCCAGGAACAGCCCCTGTCCTGGTTCTCAGGGCTGCTGGGCTCCAGCTCAGGGACCCCTGAAGCATCAGAACTGGGACCTGGAGAACGGGAGCTGATTTTCCTCAAAGAAAAGTTCAACAAGAAGAGGGAAGTCCTTGCTGAGCCAGCCAGCACCCTTTGACCTGCGTGGCTACTGTGTTCTCCATGAGCCCCATCGTACCCTGGACTTCCTGGCCAAGCACCACCTCTACCGTGTTCTGCAAAGTGTGGTCAGCCAGGCTTCAGACAAGCTCAGGGGCACCCGCTTCCATGATGGCTGCCCTCTCTTCCCTACCAATTCCCAGCCCACCTCAGCACTCCCAGTTAACCACAATCAGGGGCTACCAGACTCCAAGCCAGCTGAGGGGGAGGAGCCCTGTGATTCTCTTCACACCACAGTCTCCAACCCCAAGTTACCTCACAGAAAAAGCAAGAATGAATTGTGCTCCCCTGTATCTAGTGCCCAGATGGCCAACAGATTCAAGCTCAAGGTGACAACCACAAAAAAATACAATATCCCCAGCCCGCTATTCCATTCCAGGCACAAGGCATCTGACTCAGATCCCAAATTTCAGAAACCATCTGTGGCCCTGAGCTCCAGCCAGAGGTCCCAGCCTAAGCATGGCCTGCACCTTACCCTGCCCACTTCTGGGGCCATGGTGGAGGGGGCCTCCAGACAAGACTGCCTCAGGATTCCAGTCTGGTGCCCACTTGCCTCTCCCTGCCCTCTTCCTCCTCCCTTCCCATATACTTTTCATTCACCCCCTTCATAAGGAGCTTCTCCCCATCTCTTTCACTGTGTCCAGAGGTCCCTTCTCAAGAGAGGAGCTGGGGGGCTGGGGGACAAATTTTCAGGGGAATGTCTCCTTCACCCACCACTCCAGGCAGCCACTGTCATTGGCAGTAACTATGGCAACTTCCCGGGCAAGGTACAAGCTACTAGAAGACCACAAGGTGTTGTCAAGGATGAATAAAAGCTATTTTTTAAAAATCATGGGCATTTTTTTCAACATTTTATGTGCATCTTGGAGCCCTTCCCATATGAGGAAGATCCTGTTCCTCATGGACAGCAGCCTTTGCCTAGAGTAGGGGCCTTTAATACAGCTGCAGGACACTCAAGTCTTTCTGCCTTGCTGAAAGGAATTTGCCCAGGAAGGATATAGAGATGTAGGTGCCCTCAGTCTGGTGGGTCCCCAACAGTCTCCCAACCTGCCCTCTATCATCCAAGCTCAGCATGCTTTCCTGTGAACACAGGCCTGGGTTTGCTGACATGGCGACTAAGGTCAATGGCCTTGCCCCAGGCCTGACCGACCAGCCGCATGAAGTAAGCATGAGGGTTGGCTATTGAGTGTGACAGCATATCAAATGTGACAGGGCTGTACCTTTTGTGTGACAACCATTTTTTATGTCGGATAGGGCAGGCAGAACTGCCGAATAGTCTGGCAGATGTAATAAGTGTCATAGGGTAGCAGGGAGGGCAAACTGACAGGGGTGACGTGTCTCCTTTTTTCTCCCTGGCTGCCACACAGAACTCCAACACCAAGTTCACAAAGAAGCCACTGCCTTCCTTCTCGCCAAAGTCCAGCTTGTCCCACCTCTCCAACCCGTTTTGAGGAGATCATCAACTTCTTGGTGGAGCAGGCAATCTCCTTGCTCACTCTCAAGTACAAGTACGAGAAAAACCTCAATAAGCAGCTTGGCTTCATCTCCTTTCCTGTCACCGAGGCTCTCATGTACGTCTTCCTGGGCTTCAAGAAGGTGAAGGGCTCCCAAATTCTTCTGTCCTCAGAGATGTACTGGAGCTGCCTGATGTGCAAGCTGCAGCAGGCCGAGTGGACACTGCAGGCCTCAAGGCAGGCCTCCCACGTGCACAGCTCCCAGGCCAGTAGCAGCTCCTTGAAGCCTGGCTCCCACAGGGTTCGCAGCTTGCTGCTTGGTGCCTCCCAGCACAGCACAAAGTCTTCATCCATTTAGCCCACACCAGCCACCAGCAGCAACCAGGACCAGGCCACAGAGCCTGGCCTCCCTCTCAATGCTGAGATGTCAATCCACCAGCTGCTCAGCCCTCGGGAGCCTATTACAGCTGAGAAGCAGGCCCCCAGTAGTCTGTCACACCCCAGGCCCTTTGTGTCCTCTGACCCGAGCATGGGTTCCAGTCTCCCCAATTCTGCCAAGATGATGAACATTGAGGGCAATGAGAGCAATGCTGAGGCTAAAGACAAGGGGAGCGAGGATGACAAAGCTGAGGGCATGGATTTCTGTGAGGATGAGAGCAATTATCAGAACGTCCTGGAGCCTGGACTGGAGGCCACGATCAGGCATTCTGTGGACATGGGCCACAGTGATCCCCCATGAAGTCCCTGTAAGCCACACTTAGTGGTTCATTCCCTGCTTCTCCACCTGGTCCTTAGTGGCTGCCCACTCAGCCAGCTGCTACCCTAAGCAAGGTCAGGATGGGCTGAATGTCCATGAGGACCTCTGCTAACACTCACAGGGAAGCCAGTGGGAGAAACAGAAATAAAACATCTGTAGATGGAACACAGTCTTCTCATCCTGAGATTTCAGCCTGCCTCTCTTTGTACCTGTGCAGTTGCTCTTGAGTAACCCTTAAGTGTGGGCCATCCCTGATAGCAGCCAGCCTTCATGACAGCTGGTAGCACTCTGACCCCAGGACCCCTTTTGCCAGGAGTAACAGCTTTCCTCTTGCATGATCAGCTACCTAAGCCACTTAGGGCTCCTTGTCTCCTTTCTCTTGTGGCCCTTGCGTGGCTACTGCTTTTGGAGGGGTCTTCCTCTGCCTGGGATGGCTTCTTTTTTTTTTTTTTTTTTTTGGTACTGGGCATTGAACCCAGGGCTTTTGTACTGAGCTGCATCCCCACCCCATCCCCTTTTTTAAAATTTTGAGACCATCTCACTGAGTTGCTAAGTTGCTCAGGCTGGGCCCGAACTTGCCATACTCTTGCCTCAGCCTCCCAGATTGCTAGCATTACAGATATGTGCTACCACACTTGGCTTCCCTTCTTGTTTTGCCATGACACTGCCTCATGTTACAACTGAAGAAGCATGCAGCCACCCTCTCCTAACAACTGTCAGTTAATTGTCTTCTGAATTAGTTTTTCTCAGCTCCAACTCAAGAATCTGGAGTTTCCATTCCAGGCCACCCAGTGGCTGCTGGTTGGTCAGGCTGTGGACTGGCTGTGGAGGGCTGGCGATGGAACTAACTATCCAGCAAGGATTCTGGCCAGGGTGGCCCTCTCTAGAAAGGTCTGTGAGTGTGGCCCATGCTGTGATCAGCAGGTTTTTCGCTAAGGCCCTCCTGGGGCTTCTGGACATCCTGTGCCTCCAGCAGAGCACCCTTTCCCTCTGCCTTTCCAAGGCAGCCTGCTCGTTGCCCTATTTATGCCTCTTCACCCAGGACACAGCTCACCCTCTCTCCTAGCTGCCCCTGTGGCCAGGCCTCAAAGCAGACAAGAGAACATGTGAAGACTCTGCCACTGTGGGGAGCTTGGGGACTCTTGTCTCTCACCTCTCTCAGGAGTCCAGCCCAGTGCAGAGGCCAGGCCTACTCAGCCAAGTTTGACCATGCTCAAGCCCAGGGAGCCATGTGTGAAGACATAGCAACTATCAGGCTCCACTGGAGACAGGTAGGGGAAGTCCCGTGGACACCTATCAGACCCACACTTGCTCAGCTTCCATTCAGTGGAACCAGCATCCTAAGGTTGGTGGGTCAGGGACACATTTTTCCACAGTGTTCTTGTGTCAGAGATCTTTTAGAGCATATTCTTGACTCAAAATGGCCATTCCACCTACCACCACCTCCACAGCTCTGGTGGTATCTGAGTGCCTTATCACTTGCCCACAGTTGATAGACCCTATTGGCACACCCCTATTCCAAGCTAGGCTGGTTGGTTCTTTCCCAGAAGCCTGCAACTGGGAGGAAATGAGAGCTTCTGGGTATTCGCACTGATTGCTGAAGACAAATATGGATGATACAGAATAGCCATAATCTGTCCATCCCAAAGCAAGAAATCCTATCAGTAGGAAAGAGCCAAGAAAGAAGCCCTCAAGTGGTAAGAGACAGACAGTACCTACTGTGATTCCTACCTCCCCCCAGGTCCCACTGTGATATCATCAAGGAAGAGAACACGGCCCCACCCCTGCCTCAGAGGCACATGTCCCTTGAGTGACTGGGAACAGCCCCTGTGGAAACATTGATAGCTTGTACTAAAGACATGTATCCTTAGACCTTATTTCAGCTATCTCTTGCTGTGTATAAAATATCCCAAGACTAACCAGCTTTTTTAAAAAAGATCATTTATCATTATACTAGGGTTGATAGGCTTAGCTGGGTAGTAGTACAGGCCAAAGTTGCTTATGTGACTGCTTTCAGCTGGGAATGGGCTGAAGCTGAACAATGCTAATGTGCCCTCTCTCTCTCCACAGTTTCTTTTGGTACCAGGGATTGAACTTGGGACCTTGCACTTGCAAGGCAGGCACTGGAACCACTGAGCTAAATCCCCGGCCCATCTCTCCACAGTTTCTCCACACAGCCTCTCACCATGCAGTAATCCCACCTGCACTTTCTCACACAAGACAATGCAGTGACTGGCTTCCTAGGAGTTCCTATGGCCAGTGCTCAGAAGTCCCCAAACTATACTTTTTTTTTTAAGCATTCTATTGGTCAAAGCAAGTCACAGGGGAGGGGAAAATGGACTCAGTCTTCTTTGATTACAAAAGTGGGAGGTATTGTTTTCACTTTGATGCTGGGCATCAAACCCAGGATTTCACACATGCTAGGCAAGTGCTCTGCCTCTAAGCTATAACCCAGTTCTGAAATGGGAGGAATTGTATGTGGCCCTGTTTGGAGATTAGTTACTACCCTTCCTCCCCTCCACATCTGGTTGCACCTTGAGCAGTTTTTGGACCTAACATGAGCTGGTCAGACTCTGTTAAGAATCTGATTCTGGGGCTGGGGATTTAACTCAGTGGTTCCACTGCCTGCCTCGAAAGCACAAGGTCCCGAGTTAGATTCCCTGTACCAAAAAAAAAAGAATCTGATTCTGAAAACAAACTATGGTTGAAAGGTGAAGGCTACTGGAGAAAGATCATAATTGGTCCTGATCACCTGCTCATGGGGTGAGCCAGGGAATATGGTCTGCAGGGGAAGGCAGGAGAAAAGCTGTGAGAAGCCATGAAGCTTCACACGAGTCCAAGGAGAGCCACACTGCTTCCTCCACTCTGGGTCTGGGATCTTGTCAACTTAAATGACTATCAGAGTTTTTCCAAGGCATTGTATTCATTTGGGAATAGCAGAGCACTGCAAGGGAAATATGCATGCCACAGTATACTATGAGCATATTCAAGGAGGTTGAGGCAAGCTTTTAAAGGTGAAATGAGCTGGGAGAGATGCTGTGTGCCTATAGTCCCTGCTACTCACAAGGCTGAGGCAGAAGGATTCGTTGAGCCCAAAAGTTCAAGGCCAATATGAGCAAAACAGCAAGACCTTGCCTCAGAAAACAAAAAGCAAGCCAGGCATGGTAGTGTGTGGCTGTAATCCCAGAGTTCTGGGAAGCTGAAGCAGGAGGATCAAAAGTCGGAGTATAGCCTGGGTAAATTAGTGACTTAGCAAGACCCTGTCTCTAAAAAAGGGTTGGGATGTAGGTCAGTGTGAGGGCCCTGGGGTTCAATCCCCAGTACTGCAAATAAATAAATAAACAAATAACCAACAATATTAAACATGAAAACCCGACATTGGTCCAAGGAATATAGTTCAATGATAAGTGTTTCCCTAGCATTCCTGAGGCCCCGAGTTTGATTCTCAGCACTGTGAAAAAAAAACAAAACCTCAACAGGGTGGGGGCATACTGAGTATTGTTATCACCTAAATTAACATGTTGCTGTTATTACAAGGGCTTTCTTCTGGATTTTCTGGATGCAAAATTCTGGATGACTTAATTAAACCTGAACTTTAACCACTGCTTTGCTAGTGTCCCAAGTGTAAGCTTCATCAGTCTTGTTTAAGATAGCCCAGAGCCAGTTACTCCATGATGCCCAGCACAGGACGTGGAGTTAAATAAGGCAAGAATGTTCCATGAATGAATAAGTAAATAGTGGCATACGCTTTCCTCCTTTGAAGCCTGAGCTGACAACCCTCTGCGAAGGCAGCAAAAAGGAAACCCACTTCATATGCCAGTCACTCAGTTTGGTTCCCGCAGTCCCTCGGTCTCCCTGGGCTAAGGTTTACTAAGACAGCTTTGGGACTTTCTGGTGGACTTATCCTCAAACTCCACAGCTCCGTGCTGCCCTCTGCTGCCCGATGATCCAACGACCATGAGATACTGCCACGGAAGGACTCAAAAGACTGAGTGGCCAGGGGACTTCAGAAACTCCAGCGTCCAACGACTGAAGTGACTCAGTGTCAGAGAGGAAACTATAACCAAATGATAAGGGAATTAATTAATCCCTGGGTTCAGGGGCTGAAGGCCCAGGAGATTCAGTAACGCAGGGATCCGTCCACTTTGTGACCCTAAAACCTAGTGACCCTGCTGGGGTCCGAGCGGAAAGACACATGATTTAGGTCCCAGGGATTCAAGATCAAGGGACTTTCGTAGATACAACTGCAGGGTGTTAGGACCTGAGCAGGGAAGGGGAGGCTCAGCAGCCATAAGGCTCGGCGCGCTCACCGCAGCTGCTGTCCTGAGCTCGCTCTTTCACAGCTCGGTGCCACAGCCCCTGGTCTCTTAATGTTCATTGGTGAGTCCTCGGAAATGTAGAGCAATCAAAACCCTCCTCGTGTCTCCAGCCACCCCTCCCAGCTACTACGAGGGTGGGCTGGAGGCGGGTCCCTCACGTCAACCCAATGGCAGTGCAGGTTGAGCGCCGCGCGGGCCCGCGATTGGCTGCTGCTTGAGGGCGTTGTCAGGGCCGGATTGGTCTGCTAGGGGACGGAAGCGACCGGCGTCCGGAGCTGCAGGAGCCTGGCGGGGGCGATGTGGAGCGCGGGCCGCTGTGCGGCGGCGGGGCCGGTTCTGCTAGCTCTCCTGCTGATGCTCTTGGTACCGGGCAGTAGTGCCACCAAGACTGGCGTGGGGCCTGTGACCTGCGGGTCGGTGCTGAAGCTGCTCAATACCCAACACAGGGTGCGGCTGCACTCGCACGACATCAAATACGGGTCTGGTGCGTGGAACCTGAGCGGGGCGATCGCCAGGGGGCAGAGGCGAGGAGGCCGTCGGGGCTGTAAGGCTGGGGGCTAGAGTTGCTGGGGGCCGTGAAAGGCCAGGATCGGGGCTTAAAGGGGGTCGTCTAGATATGGCTTGGGGCGGGCCAACCCTGAACTGCGGGTGGAAGGACTCGAGAGGTTCGGGGGGCCTGGGGGCGAACCACGGGAGCCCCAGTGCCCATGTCACGCGGTAAACTTGGAGTCAGGAGTTACGCGATTGACAGAGACCTTGGTGTCGGGCTGGGTGTCATTCCTCAGGCAGCGGCCAACAGTCAGTGACCGGTGTGGAGGCTTCGGACGACGCCAATAGCTACTGGCG